TAAGCTCTCAGGTTAGCAATTCTGTTCAGATGGCTGACAATTGCAAACCTGTGAAAATGTCACCATCATGCTAATTTCTGTCTGCTCAAATCCGACAAATAAATAAAATCTGACAAAAAAATCACATAAACAGAAGATTTCTGAGTGTGTTGTGATGAGGGTAAGGCGCCAAACACACTTGCTTTTAGGGGCAATCCCACAGCAGTGTTTATGCAAACAGCCCTATACAAAGCCATGAGAGGCTGAAAGCACCAGCAGCCGTTCACGGCCATTTAAATGTCATTGGACATGCAGCAATATTACACATTGGATTATGTAAAATAAAAAATATATTATAAGAGGCCGGAGGGCTGATTCCACTCACCATTATCCACTTATAACTACAATTATTTTTGGATGCCTTTTGAGTTTTAAGCTTTGATTAGAGTATATATACTCCTACATATAATAACTACAAATGATGGCTGAATCAGTAAAATAATTTAAAATATTAGTCTTGTTGGCTAAAGTTGTTCAATTATTAGTTCTTCCTTTAGAGACGGCTTTTAGTTATTCTCTGTGGCTTGATTCCCACTAGCAGGTCTCTTGTTATGTTCTGAGTTTATAAATGTCATGTGTTAGGGTTGTTCTAGTATCTCTGTACATCTGTAATTAGGTTTATTTAAATTTATAATACGAAGCACAGCTGTATGTGTTGTACAACTTACAAAAGGACTTAGTGTTCACTTTCTTCGAATACGTAACAGATAACATGCCTGTACTAATATAATAAAGTCATCAGAACAATCATTGACTGAATGCAACCTTATTGAACAAACCGCAATGTGGGGAGCTTACAAGGGGAGAAGAATAAAGGGGAAAGACAGACACAACATCTACCGGCTCTACTTCCTCCTTTGTTTTGTTGGTCCACTTGTGAGTAGACTAGGTGTGTAGCAGTGATTTAAAGGGACCAGGTGATATGTTCCTTCTTGGTTTTATGGGAAAGATTAAATAGTTTTACAACACGATAGTTGTCCAACAACACAAGTACAGTACGATAAAGCAATATTCCAGTTATGGCACAAGGCAGTCCCAAACAGGCAGACTTACAGGTGTTATTGTGCTTGAAGAGTGCTCTATGGCAGGTTTTCTTTGCTGGCAATAGTGGCCTCCTGAAGGGTGTTGTGCTGGCGATACCAGATGCAGTGCTTCTGTGTTGCCTGTGTGGACTGTCCGGGAGCGCGCAGACAACAGGATGGCTCCAGGGGGACCCTGCAATCCAACCTAGATATAGCATGAATGTTAAAAAGCCCATTATGCTGCAAAGACAAGCTTCACATAAAAACAGGCAGGAAACCAGCAATGATATAAGGCAGGGCTAGGCAAACTCTGGCCCCCCAGCTGTAGTGAAACTACCAATATCATTAGGCATTGCAAGACCCTGACAGCCACAGACATGATTCCCAGAGGCAGATATATGATGGGAATGGTAGTTTCACCACAGCTGGAGGGCCAGAGTTTGCCTACCCCAGATATAAGCAATGCTATTACATTTAGGTTGTATGATTTCAGGGTTTACTGATACTTTAACCTGAGCTAAAAAATATATTAAGATGCATGGCAACACATGAGGTGGGAAAAAAGCCCTCCAAATTCCCCTAAAGGTCACCTTTGCTTTGGTTTTATTCCATCATATGTCAATGTAAATGCATGGTAAATGCATCTCAAAGGCCCATGTATGTTAGCCGGTAAGTTAAACTTGAGATAAAGTGGGAAATATTGAAATGATGGCAGATAGCAGAGGAAGCAATAGCTTCTTTGCTATCTGCAAGGGTTTTTTTTAGTATTCTGACAGCTGCTACCGTCAGAATAAAAAAAAACCTCAGCATTGGAATGCATAGCTAGATTCCTATTGGCTATTTCAATTTGCAATATCCAATAGCAAGCTGGCTATTGCACCCGCCCTCTGCTGCTGTCAATCACTAGAAGGGTACCTGATGGAGAACTTCAGGTCCCCTCTGCTGAGCAGCAGTGGGAATCTGAAGCAGCAGTGGGTGGGAGCAGCAGTGGGGACCTGAAGCAGCAGTGGGCGGGTGCAATAGCTAGTTTGCTATTGGCTATTGCAAAGTGAAATAGCCAATAGGAATGTAGCTATGCATTCCTATGCTGTTTATTTATTTCTGACTGACAGCGCCCGCGGCTCCGATGTCAGAAGAAAAAAAAACAACAGAGCAGGGAAAGGTTTACTCTGCTCGATCGAGCAGAGTAAACCTTTCTGGGAGAAAGTGTATCTAATAGCGGGAGACTCCCAAAGCGTCCAGGAGAGTTATGACAGATTAGCGTCCCTGGTTACCTGGTAACCAGGGACGCTAATCTGTATCTGCAAGTGGCCGGAGCCAGCCGTGAGATGACGGCTGGCTCTGCCCAGCTGTCAGTAGCAGTCTGTCGGCCGGCCGTTCGGACAGCTTCGGCTTTCACCTCGGATCAGTCGAGCCGAAGCATATGCCTTCGGCTCGACTGAGCCGCTCGGCCAACTTTGGGAGCTGTACGGGCTATAGTGAATAGCCCGTACAGCAGCCCTTCGGTTCTACTGAACCGAATGGGTCCTGGGGCCAAATCTAGTCACATTTTCTTGTTGTGTGAGTCTGTCTGTTTGACTATATTTTTCCCTTTTGTCATCTATTTGGGTGTGGATAAAATGTGTTTACATTAGACATAGCTCCTATTTAAAACAATATACACTCCATTGTGTGCTCTCAAGATTCTACACCTTCTAATCCTATTAATGCTTAATACTTTAACTCCACTCCTTTCTTATTCAACTGAAACAATCCGGTTACATAAAATAGCAAACATCAACTGAGATTAAAAAGCCAATGTTGACACTTAAAGTGTATTTCCACTTTTGCAGTCACATTTTAGAAAACTCCTCTAAATGTTTGTTATGTGTATCTATTACCAAAGCATACCAAAAAATTAGGGATGGACTGAAATTGAATTTTTAGACCAAAACCAAAAATAAACTATTTTATAGGCCAAAACCAAAAATGACTTTGTGATGACCCTGCTATTTCCCTTTTAAAATAGAAAAAGAGATTAAGAACACAGAGTCCTAAATCTCTTTTTCTGTAGCCCCAGTACTGAATGAACAGGAATCCTCTATACTGAGTGTTCATGTCCATTCATAAACTGAGGAAAGCAGATCAGTTATGTCCACAATCATGAATGAACAGTGATGTAGATAACGTCCTATTCATTCATAACTGGTGACACAGTAAGCTTACTATGTCCTCAGTTATTTACAATCAGCAATCAGTACTGATTGCTGAGTGTTTGTACTACGCTCTACATCCTGACCGCTCCTCCTGTCACAGGCAGCCGAGCGGGCCATTGTGGGAGGAGAGCTTGGCCTCCTATGACAGCTGACAGCTGTCTCCTCCCCGCACCACCCTGCACTGCCTACTAACAGCTTCTCTCCTTCCTTCTGGGCGCCTGCAGCTGGATCAGCTCTGTGTCCCCTTCGATCCCCATTGCCTCTGCCAATACAGGTGGGGAAGAGCAGCAAGCATCGGAGGGGACACATACTGGCACCCAGCAGGGAGGAGAGAAGCTACGAAAGCACCGCATTTTAGTCTGTTTTGGTAATATCAGCATTATGGCCATAGAATCATTTTCGGACTAAATGTTTTGGGGGCCAACATTTTGGTGCATCCCTTTTAAAAAAATATATTTATTTCCTTTTAGTTGTTTTGTTGCTGGAGGAAAAATAGCTGATTCCAGGTTTTTCTTAGCCCCTTTACAGTGATCTGTCCTTATAGAAAGACAAGGCTGAAATTTGAGGATTGTGTTTATCTCATTATCTTTATTAACATACAACTGAGAAGCCCCTCTTCCCTCACAGCCCCTCCTAAAATTACAAAAGAAGGAGAAACATGTAGATATGTAGAAATGTTAACTATTAAGAAGTCAAGAAACCCTTAACCAAACAAAAGCAATTTAAACAGCAAGAAGCAGTTTATGAGTGTATTTATTAACTTTTTTTGTTAACTTACGCCAGGGGCGCCCCATTTTTTTTTCGTCTGGAGATCTACTTTTCAAATGACGAGCTCATTGAGATCTACCAACGAAAAAACACCTGCATTCAGGGGCGGGAGGGGGGCGTAGGCTGCGCAGATAGGCCCCTCGCCCACAGTGCGATCGCCTGCATTAGTGCCTGTGTTCCAGTCCAGTGCGATCCGCAAAAATGCTGCGAGCACTATTTTTGCTCGCTATGTGAATGGGAATATGTTACAAATATAAAATAGAATGTTATCCCAAACTGGCTGCAAAAGTGGAAATAAACTTTAAAGAGGAAATGTACCCATATCTTTAAAATAACAACAACAAACACACCTTTAGAAATATTTAGCAATTACAATCTACAAACAGATACTTCTAGATAATTGCAGGCTTTTTATTTTTTTGCATACTTTATTTATTTTTTCCCCAGTCTTCTGACAGTGGCCATTTTAACTAAGGGCAGATTACTATATCTCCCTTTTCTTCCTGGAACTCTGGCACATGTGATTAGGACATGTGACCATGTACATCATCTCAGGGGAGGAAAATGCCTTTCCCTGAGATCTTATGAGATTGAGATTTCCCAGCAATGCTCTGCTGATGTAACCTTGCCAGGATGCAATGCTTTGGCACATTACATAATATGTGCCAGAAGTGGCCCAGGAAGTAGATGAACTCTATTTGTAAGTAAATTTAAAAACAAGTTTGTTTAACTAATAAACATAAGATGATACCGTGTTTCCCCGAAAGTAAGACATCCCCCGAAAATAAGACCTAGTGTCTTATTTCGTGCAAAAAAAAAATAAGACACTGTCTTATTTTTGGGGAAACACGGTATTAAGTCAGCTTGCTGAGCTGCATGCTTATGTGATTTTTTGTAAAATCAGATAAAGGTCCACTTTAAAATGGATTGTTATCTCAGCAGACCTGTAAAATGTTGTGCTTTTTTCTTTTTGCAGATCCGGAGACGTCGGCCCACCCCAGCCACACTTTTTCGTGTATCTGAACCTCAATCACCAGGTGAGCACATACCCGATCTGGTGGCATAAGTAAAGAAGGGAATGTTAAAAAGTATTATTCTTTTGATGCCTTGGTACAAATCTGTGTAGTGTAAAAGCTTATCTAAACCCCAAAACCAAATTGTAATATATTGCATCTTACCAGTCCACAGATGTGTTGGCTATGTTAGTTCTTAGCCTGAAAAAGAAATAAGTATGTAGCTACCACATCTAAGGACTGCTAAACTGCAGTAAATTACATTTTTGTCCTTGGGTTTACATAAGCTTAAGGTGCAAATCAGATAACCTCAACACATCAAAAGACCGGTTAAAGGTCAATAAGTTGAACTGGGCATTTTGTTAGATTGTTTTTCATTGTTCCACATTGTGCATGCAAGATAAGACAGTTATATGTAGAAAATCTGCGCTCCTGGAGGTAGCTAAAAACTATTAACCCTAAAGCTGCTATGGAAGGTAAAATTATATATTTAACCAGTCGACATCCGCGGTGTTAAACCCCCTTCCCATCCAGGCCTTAACACAGCGGTAAAAGGTGAGTGAGATAACACTAATATGAATGAGAATATAACTAAATCCTCATATTTTGAATCCGTGAACAGTAAACCGTGAAATATGTAAATATTAATGAATAAATAACCATGAACGTGATTGACCAAATAAAATATAGTGAAAAATCAACTTGAATCTAAGTGAATATACGATAAAGGTGAATTAAACCATGAAATTAGGTTCTAAGTGATCCACAAATTGTTGTGCAAAAAATATGTGCATGAACCTTTGAAAACACGCTGACGATAATTATACAAAAAAGAGTCAATTAAAGTCCCAATGCAAAAAGTGATGGTAACCAAGTGATGAATCAATCAGAAAGTAACAAATTGTAATAAGCAAACGAAAAACAAATATAAAGTTCTTTTAATTCCGATCCTCCAATCAGCCGTCCCCCCAGGTAATCGGTACTCACCAGAGTTGGTGAGTATATATAATATAATCACTCAGAAGGGAAGGACTTCTAATCTCCCCATTCCGATTCCCTCAAATTCCCCCGACAGCAGACCGAACACTAGCAGGCACTCCTATGATATAAATATGAGGATTTAGTTATATTCTCATTCATATTAGTGTTATCTCACTCACCTTTTAGCGCTGTGTTATTACTTTAAAGATAAGACAGTTACCACAGTTTAGAGACTATAATATCATACCAAATATGATAAATAGGAATTGCGTATCAGGTCAACAAAGAAATTCAGTCAATGTTTGCATTGTTTGTGGTAGAGATTAAATATAGACAACTCATGGGAGATAACAAAAGACTTTAGGAAAGAATGAGGATGGGGAGAAAAAAAGAGACATATGTGGTGAGAAGATGAAGAGGAAGGTGACAGGATAAAAGTGGAAAGAGCATGAAATGGAGAAGTTCAGGACAGATGTAGTCAGTGAACAAAATAAAGAGGAGATTGCAGAAGCAGTTAAAGAATCAAAAGGTGAGGACTGAACAGATATGGTAATAGGCAACAGGACAAATGTGGTGGGGCAATCAAATGAAAGGGACAGAACAGATGAAGGAAGAAAATATAGTAGAGGATTCCAGACAGATGTGGTGAGGGAATGAAATGGGAGGACAGGAAAAAGTAGTAAGGGAATAAAATGGAAGAATGGCAGATGTGGCGAGAGAACAAAGTGGAGGGAATTAAATAGAGGGAACACAACAGATATGATGATGATGATGATGATGATGATGATGATGATGATGATGATGATGATGATGATGATATGAAATAGGGGAAAGGACAGATGTGGTGAAGGAAAGACATGGAGAAAGCTAGACAGATGTGGTGAGGGAGTGAAATGAAGAGGACAGGAGAGATGTAGTGAGGGTAGGTAAGGGAGGAATAATGACACATGTGGTGAGGGAGTAAAATTAAGAAACAGGAGAAATGTATTGGGGATATGTAATGGTGAAATATGGACAGATGTGGTGATGGGGTGACATGAAGAGTACAGGAGAGATGTGGTGAGGGTATGTAATAGAGGAATCAAGACAGATGTGATTATGGAATGCAATGAAGAGGACAAGAGATCTGTAGTGAGGGTATGTAATGGAGGAATTGGTACCATTGTAATGATAGAGTGAAATGAAGAGGACAGGAGAGATATAGTGAGGGTCTGTAAGGGAAGAATCAGGACAGATGTGGTGATGGAGTGACATGATGAGGACAGGAGATATGTAGCGAGGGTCTGTAATGGAAGAATCAGGACAGATGTGGTGATGAGTGACATGATGAGGACAGGAGATATGTAGCAAGGGCATGTATTGAAGGAATCAGGATAGATGTGGTGAAGGAGTGAAGAGAAGAGGACACGAAAGATGTAGTGAGGGTATGTAATGAAAGAATAAGGACAAATGTGGTAAAGGAGTGAAATGAATAGAACAGGAAAGATATAGTGAGGGTCTGTAATGGAAAATGCAGGACAAATGTGGTGGAGTGAAATGAGAAGGACAGGAGAGCTTTAGTGAGGGTCTGTAATGGAAGAATGAGAACAAATGTGGTGAAGGAGGGAAATGACGAGGACAGAAGAGATCTAGTGAGGGTATGTAATGGAGGAATCAGGACAGATGTAATGAGGGAGTAAAATTAAGAGAACAGGAATGATGAAGTGAAGGTATGTAATGGAGGAATCGGGACATATGTGGTGATGGAGTAAAATGAAGAGGACAGAAGAGATGTAGTGAGCGTATGTAACGGAGGAATCTGGACATATGAAGAGGATCGAACAGAGAGAGGACAGAGGTGGTAAGGGGGAAAAAATGAAGAAATGGGACAGATATTGTGAGAAAATAAAATGGAAAAAACAGGACAGATGTGGAAAGAGAATAAGATGGTGTAAGCATGTCATGGGAGAAAATGGTGCAGCACACAAAACAAATAAGTTATTAATTCTTACATTTTTTCTTCTTCTATTCTTGTAGATGAAGACCCCACATTATACCAGGTTAGTAAGACATTTTCCTTTAACTTCAGAAGCTTTAATGATCTTGTCCAAAGAATCTCTAATGCATATATACTCATCAGAATAGAAAATATTAAAGTATATGTCAAGCCAAAATGTTTTTTTTCTCGTTTTGGATAGATTAGGGAAGAATTACAGTAGAACTCATAATAGGTTTTGCTGTAGGGTTTCATTAGAGAGATTTGCCCTCAAGTCTTTGCCTTGCTGTTAACAATGGTTTCACCAGACAGGAAATATGAGTAAAATCTGCAACAGAGACACGGACCAAAATAAATATCTGACAGGGATTCTAGCCTTTACCTACTTTGCTTAAGAAAAGCATTTTCTGCCTGTCTTCATTGCTGTTTTTGAGTTTCCACTGCCTGCCTGGTAAACGTCAGCAGGGCAAGAAGTTTTTGGCTTGTCATACAGTTTAATGTGTAAAGGTACCCAAAACTGAATTGTATTTTTTACTTGTGTTCTCTTTTCTACATAGAAAAAGGTTGTCATTTGAGTCAGAGAAAAGTTTTATGGGTTTGTCATTGGTAGACAGATCTCTAATCCCATTAATTTCAGTATTTTTTTGTGTTTAATCCTTAACATAAGGTGACTTGTTTTGTAATGTTACTACACAAAGCAACATTAAGCTTAAACTCCATACACAAAGACAAAGAACAGAAATGCGAAGGAGCAGTGAGAATTTCCTGGAATTAGGTGTCCTACAATAGTTTTGCTCCTACTTTTTTAGACAGCAATGGCCCATTATGCAGAATATCTGACAGGGATTCTATCCCAAATAACCAGATTCTATGATCTTTCTTATAAAAGAAGCCATGTTGGCCACAGAACTGCCTCTTATGTATGCACTATAAGGACTGTGCATCTTGCATAGTACCAAGTGGAATGACAAGGTGAGGATGCCAAAGTGCTCCTCCCCCTTTGCTCCAGAACTGAGATGCATAGAACTTGCACATCCAAACGTACATTGGTCAGGATGATGCAGGATGCAGAAATGGTGCTGTATGCCAAGCCTAGGGTTTCCACCTTTTGGTCATTAGAAAACCAGACTGAATGAGGGAAGGTGTTGCAATGTGGTTAAACCAGTGTGTTTTAGTCATAATAAGCATGTTAATACAGAGTCAGATTTTTATTACAATTATTGCAACCAAATTATGTTTTTGCATCTGGAAAGTAATTTATAACTCAGCTGTACATCTTTTATTTTGATTTGTACTTTTTATAAAGACACAAAAATTATGATTATGGTACAACTATGTTTTTAGCACTACAAAAACTAATACAAATGTAAAATGTTTGCATTTTAACTTTGGCTTTTGTGCGATTGCTCACCTTTAGATTTCTGTGTATTCCTGTTCGGATAATGTCACCCTATTGCAATTTGTAAAACAAATGTAGAATGTTTACATACTAGCAATAACAAAAGGCAAAAAAATTGCATTGTGGTAAAGCCCACAGCAACTCAGTGTGTTGGTGCAATTGGTGCACTGCATCACTATTTATTCTGAACAGCACTACAATCACTGGCGGAACTACCAGGGTCGCAATTGCGACTGGGCCCTGGTGTTCCGACTGTTGGGGGGGGCCCAAAGAGGAACAAGAGGGCCTGCTGCTCCCTCATCCCCCCCCCACGATAGTGCCGCTCCTGATCTGTCACTGTCAGCCGCCCAGCAAAGAATGTGCTGCAGGCACTGCCAGGCAACATATTCTGCTGTATGGGGAGAGGACCCGCTCCGCTTAGTCCCACCCCCTGGCCGCCGGGACACGGAAGAAAGTGACAGTGGTGGTCTGAGACTGAAGCGGCTGCCTGAGGTCCCGCGCTTTCTGCGCAAGTCAAAAGCCTTCCTGTTAACCACATGGTGCCATGGCGATGGGGGGTTGGGAAGGCCCTTCATGGTTTCTTGCACCGGGGCCTTGAAGGTTCTAGTTATGCCACTGACTACAATATACTTGGGTTGCACCTTACCACAACACACTATACTACCCCTGTGGTGTGCTGCATTACTAAAAATAGTGCATGCACCTATTTTGGTGCATTAGGAAGTCCATTCATCTGAATGGTCTGTCTTAATTAAATGCACGTTAATGCACTGCAGAGACATAAATGGGTGCTTAGGGAAAAAGGGGAGTTAATAATAAAAACTAACTATGGTTAACTAAGGGTTAAGGAGGGATTAAAAGGTTGAGCTCCTGAGCCACTTTTACATTTCAACTTTAGGGCTATTAATTATATATAACATACCAAAGAGGGAGAAATTTACGTTATAGATTGGTACACAGTCATCTACAGACCAGAAGTAAAAAGAAAAAAAGAGGAAGATAAAAACTGGTTATCGAGACCACCTAAAGGGTCATATCACTGTGGTCATTGCATGTAAACACTGTACATGCCTACAATTAAAGAATGTAAAAGTCCAAAGGATGATTCCACAGTACAAATAGACTCTTTTATGAACTGCAGTACAACTAGCCTAATATATATTGCAAAATGTTCTTGCCCAAGTTGTAAGTTGGCAAGACATTCAGACAATTGAGAAGATGGGTTTGGAAACATATTTATTAGATACATTTGAAAAGACATAAACCAATTCTGTGATATATGTGGAAAAAACACTTTGGGAAACCAGAAGAAAAAAACATTATGAGGCAAAATGTCAACAGCTAGGCGTTCGGCTATTTACTTCGGCACGGCATGGCTGATTTCAGCCGTACATCGGCTACAATCAGCTGTACAACGGCTGGCTTTAGCTGGCTTCTGTTAGCTGAACAAGCTCTGCATGTTCGGCTGAGCCGAAATGAAGAAGCCATTCGACTAAGCCGATCCAACATCTGGATCGGCTGAGCCGAACCTCCGACAGTTCACTCGCTGCCGTTTGACCCTATTCTCAAAGGGGCCGAACGGCAGTGAGAGAATAGCCAAATGCCGCTGAGCAGCCTTTGGCTCGATTATTCTGCTCCATACCTCCAAGTTATAAAAAAAATATAACAAAATATTTAAAAAAAAGAAAAAAGAAAAAAATAATTTTGAAAAAAGAAAAATAACTGTTAAGAAAATAATTTAAAAAATGTAAAGGAAATATGTTTTTTTTTAAAACAGTGTGCGGCCCCCTCCCCTTAAGGTCTGGTAGGAATGTTAGGAGGGACCCCAAGTTTTAAAAAAATGTGCAGGGTTCCCCCCAAAGTCATACCAGGTCCTTTAACCAGGCACTTTAGGTCTGGTAGGAATTTTAAGGAGGAACCCCACCCCCAAAAATGGGGGGGAAACGTGGGGCCCCCTAAAACTTCCAATCAGACCCTTAATTCGAGCATAGGCCTGGCAGGGCAGGAAAAGGGGGAGGGGGGGGGGGCAAGCGCACCCCCCCCCCCCTTGCCATACCAGGCAACATGCCCTCGGCACTGGGAGGGTTCTTTTCCCTGGAACCTTGTCTCTGTGCCGATGGGGACAAGGGCCTCTTCCTCACAAGCCCTGGGGCGTTGGTTGTGGGGGTATGCGGGCAGGGGGGCTTATTTGTATCGGGGTACCCCTTTAATAAAGGGGCACCCAGATGCGCCCCCCCCTTTGTGAATGAGTAAGGGGTATTTACCAGCCGCCGACCCAACCGCACGCTATGAACTCCCGCTGCAGAATGAAGATTCTGACAGATGCCGGCAAAATATATACAATCAACTGTTCACATTTGTCTGGCACCTGTCAAAACAAATAAACGGAGTCGGCCATGATGTCACGGCTGACTTTGCCCAGTTGTAGTCACTTAATGACAGCCCAAGGTCATCAAATAACCTGAGGACGCTGGTCGGTCATTGAATGACAACAAGTGAGAGGAGCCAGCCGTGACATAGACCATTCTCCCTGCTTCGGCTGTGACTACGGCTCAACCGAGCTGAAGCATCTGCGTTCGGCTGCTGTACGGGTTGTTGTGAATAGCCTTACAGCAGCCCTTCCGGCGGCTGAAGTGAGCCGAAGGATGAGCCGAAGCTATGGCTAGATCCTTTGGCTTCTAAATGAATAACCCTCATAATGTTTTTTGAGGCACGAACTGGGTTTTCTTTAAAAATATGGTCTTCAAAAATGTATTGCAGTGTCACCTTTTTTGGTGCTTTTAGTGCATTGTGAAACCTATTCAAATGAAGGAGCAACACTCATCATAACGCTCAATAGTGTGCATGGCTTAGTGCACATCATAAAGATATACATGGGCCTTCATTTATTTCCAAATGAAATAAAGGCTTTTGTTTATTTTTTTCTTGTACTGGTTTTATTGTCTACACTACAAAAAACTAACAAATAAAATTAATGGAACAAAGAAAAATTGTATTAATAGAAAACATTTATAAAAATTGGCAAAAGAAAAACAGCAAGAGAGAGCGGGGAGAGGAAACAGTTAATAAGGTGATACAGTCACTTTGCAAAGAGATAACTCACTGTGTTGTTATTGAATAAGTGGACTGCACACACACTCACATTGTCCCCCATTGGTTGTCCCATACTGCAGCAGAATCACACTCCACTCAGACAGGTACAATCAATGTCGGAACACTTGAAATGAACCAAATAAATGGCAACTATAATTTAGCCAGACTGACTACAGCTCTGGAAATCACTAAATTTCTAGTAGCCACTTTACTAACGGTGGTAGGGGCTACACAGGCATGTGCAAACTCAGGCGGACTGGGATGACACCAAGCCCAGGCTCATCACTAATCTGTAGTGATTTTCAGTAAGATGAGAAAAACCCTTAACCCTTTCACTGCCACTCACATAAGGCATATGTCCTAACAACAGAGCCAATTCCATCTGGCCAGGTCAGTAAGCCTTATTTCAACTGCATTCACCCTTCTGCTAAAGCTTATTCTCGCTTCAGTCATGAGAGTGGAAACATTTTCCTTTTTACTTTGCTAAAAGTATAAAGTTATATTAGATTTGAAAACACCTAATAAAGCTAGCAGGCACTGAATGAAGGAAAGGTAAACACTTTTGATAATCT